ATCTCTGGAGTATAAAGAAATAAAAAGAAAGAGAATACAAACCAGAAAGATCATGTAATATGTCCCTTTACCTTATGTCTTAAGCTTTTACATTCTTCTTCTGTACAGATAATTTAAATACAGCAAGTAGTTAGCTTAAGCTATTTTGCTCCTTTAACTTGACCGCATGGAAACAAGCCTAGTACAAGCAGAGGAGTAGATTATGTAAAGCTAGTACTCTTGCAGGGTGAGACTGAAATGGATTAGAATGCAGGTGAAGCCCCAGCATATAATGTACTGGCAAACAAAAAATGCAAGATACACTGTTCTAAATACACTGATACACTAAAGTGGCTGTTAGGTCCAGTGTTGTTTTGCTGCATGGTCTTTTTCATTCTAGCCACTTAAGGGCAGCAAGGACGAGCCCTCAGAAATTGTTATACATTTTCATATATAATTTATTGAAAACTTAAAAATATATATATTTCACAGTCTTGTTTACCATATCTTATTATCTGTGAAGCTGATATGAATAGAAATTGCCAGTGTGCAACTTCAAGTTTTCATGACCATTAGGCTGTAGCTTGTTGAATTTAATATTCAGTGTAGCACCTGTGAAAAGTAAGAGATTTTGGTAGCTTTCAATCCAGTATCTTTCAGCTGCAAAAACTGGTCCAAATCAGAAGGATCTAAGATTATGGTACAGAAATGGTCATATTTTTCAAAACTGTAAATAGTACTGAGCATTCTGGAAGCATTTTTATATACAGTTCAAGGTTTTGCCACCAATTTCAAGGTAACTTCTGCTGTAGAAAATGAATCAGAAACCTTGAATGTTTAGCTATTACAGTTGTATAACAGGATTACACCTTGCTCTTCATGCATTATACTACTGCAAAGACTGAGCCTCTCCTACAGCATCTTCTGTGTAGCAAAGTAGGAAAATTTGAATATTCCACACTAATATCACATGGATAAGTACCTAAGTACATTTCTCTGGGTTCATTACAAGTAAATCCCCATGGCTAGCCTTTCCTATTTATTCAATACATTTGCAACTGTAGAGCTAGTCAGCAGGAACTGAGTTTTATAGAGAGTTGGGAGAAATGCTGTACAATCTGGCTTCATTAGGTAATAATGTAAGCAACGCAAAAGCAATTGCACAGAAATAATTAATGTGATGTAGAAACAGAGCTGCAATTTTCCATCCTAGCCCAGCATATGGTAGCCCACAGAGAAAAGCCACAGTGATCTACCAGTACAGAAGTAATCCATGGAAAAGACGAACATCAGCATCAGAACAACTCTGATGCCAGCCTTTTCACAAATAAAGGGAACAATACATTACTCCGGATTGTATGTGTAAAGACAAAGAACTTCAGAAGATGATTACAGTAACTTAAGAAAGAAGAAATGTAAAGCACAAACTGTGAGATGACAGCTTGGAAGCATCTTAAGGAAGGAAGGTTCAGGTATGCTGGGAGCAGCCAGTGCTAGAACAGATAAAAAATACAGAAGCATTTCATAGAAGTACTACACAAAAGAATATTACTGTTGCCTATGAAAACACAAGGAGATCAGGAAAAGAGAGGAAAACAATTTCTTCAGCTACAAGGCAATAAGAAATACATCTTGAAAAAGCTGGCTTGAAACAGCCAGAAGAAAAACTAAGGTAGAAATTAAAAAGTTTACAAGCACTGCAGTATTTTGACCCAGGAACAACTTTCTACACAGAGAAGTGGGAAGAACTTTTCAGAGCATACAGAACAGGCCGAATTCTTGAGGAGAGATGCACTACAGGTGGTGGTATGCCACAGTCTGGACTCAGAGATCAAACTGAAGTTGGTACTCTTGCCATGGAACAGAAGCAAATTATGGGGAAGTGGTGCCACTGAGAGCAGCAATTCCTCTATCGCAGAGACAGGAAGCTGCCAAGGTAACAGCACTGAAAATGTGTTCTTAATGCACAGCTTCCTCTCCTGGGTCACTGAAGCAAAAATAGCATAACTTGCTATTCACATAATTTTTCACTGTTTTCCACTCCCAAGTTAAAACTAGATCCCTTTCTTCCTGAGTTCAAGTAATGCATAGAAGATTTCTGTCAGCAAAAGCTCATGTTTCTTTGATTTCACCCATCCAAGTTCTTCATTTCAGGCTGGAGTATGGCAGATAGTGCAGAACAGGTGCCCAGAACCCCAAAAGTAAGCAGGGGGACAGAAGGAAGCAGGGCAATGTGCAGTCTCTGTGAAAAATGACTAAGTCTGCAAAATACAGCAGAGTGGAATAATAGGGAACATACTTTAAAAGAACAAATAGAATTTTAATGCTTAAAAATAGCATTTTATACTGCCCACTGTATTTCTCTGCAAGTACTTCAAGAACCAAATTACTTCTTTGTTTCTGAAGATGGTGTACAATCTGTGAACAGTCTGAATGGGCCTGGTTCTGTAACAGACTGAGTTCTTATCAACATCAAAAGCACAGGGTCTGCTTAGATGTCTTTCATACCTCAAAAAAGAAAACCTGCTTGATGACAAACAGATTGATCAACTATTTGTGATTTCATACAGCTCTTTTAAATGTCTGTCAAGTGCACAGAGGTGCTAATTAGAATGAAAAATGTTTTTAAAAAATCATTACATAAAATAAACACGGAGAGAAGCTTAAACTTCCCAGGGAACTCTACAGCAGTTAAATTTTTTTTACTTTGCTAAAGCTCATCCACCAGTCCAAAACTCCAAACTATCATCTTGATTTTCATTTATCTAACCTTACAAAACCTGCCTTGGTTTTCCATGCTTTCAAAAACTGTGTTTACTACTGCTATAACTGGATAAAGATGCCATGGTTTCTAAATCTCCTTACTAAAACTAAACATTGAGTTCTGCATTTGACACCTTCCCCAAACACATACCACCATTTTTCATAATGTTTTAGATAACTGAAAGCATAATGTGCAGTGTTTTATTATCTATGGCTCTTTCTAACCCTTCAGGAGCCTTGTCTTTCAATCTTCCAAGCCCTTCCTTTCTTCCCTTCTTCCTTCCTCCAACCCTTCGCTTTTCATCCTCTTCCCCTCCATTTTCCTTCTCCCTTTGCTTCATGTTGCAAATTTTTCAAGGGCTTTAAGATATGAGCCAAAGATAGCTTGAACATTCCTCCCTACCTCTTGAGATTGGGTATTTTCCTTAGCTGTTCCCCACCAGCTTTTCCTATTTCTGAGAGGATTTTTAGGAGTAGCTTAAAGGCAGCTGCTGCTGAAACTCCTCAGTATCCATGAGCAGACTCCTTCACCTGCCATTTTGCCTCTTCCTCACCTGCTATTTGTTACTAGTTCTAACTAAGGAGACAGTTAGTCTGGCATTCTCCTAACTTCTGCTAACCTGGTATAGGTTACCAAATTTATTGCATGTCAGACAACTTTACAAAAGGTTTTTATAGCTTTGCTTCCAGTTTTACTGTTTTTCTATTGTATGGCACATTGACTGAGAACCAAATTCTGCTGAACATCAACAACTGGAATTGTTTTCACATTTTCAGGTACAAAGACTCCATTAATAACTTAATTAATAGCATGTAGAACATGCATGGCTGAACTGAAATGCTTAATGAAAAGAATGAATACTGAATACAGTTAGTAACAGCTTTGACATCAGCTTCAGAAATAACAAGGTATTCACGAAGAAAAGAGAAACTATGCAATTTGCTTTGCTTATCCTTCAGTCCTTTTTCTCATGAACTTACCACCACTTCAGAGAATCTGACAAAAGCAGGGTCATTAAACAAACATTCATCTTTGTACAGCTTCAGACTGAGCGAACTTTTGCATCACAGAAATAAACGCATTTAATTTCCATCATCATAGTTGAAAAACTTAATGACCTCTTAAGACAGAAACATCGATTTCTTTCCTTTCTTGCATGTTGTCCTGTTTCTATTTAAGTCTCTGTATGCCTATCCTCGTACATCTCCCTCCCACTCACATTTACTGCTTTCTCTTAGTCCCCTACTTATGAGCTGCTCCACCCCCAGCCCCAGGATGTATTTCTAGCAGCTGAGTTCTCTCCTACACAGATCACCCCCCCTTGCACTGTGAAGTAGCAAGTCAACTGTGTGGACGTAAATGAGGCTACGTCATAAGAAAAAAGCCATTTGCTATTAATAAAACCACCTCCACCACATACAAACTGATTTTGATACCTTTGAGCTAACGACATATCCCTTCGTAGATGCGTATAAAACAACACAAAAAGGCAGAGCTATGAAAGTAGTTGCTGTATTTTAAAGTCTATTAATACATGCTAACAAAATTCTAATCTGATTAAAAATCTTCCATCATAATAGTTAAATGTTGAAGAGTATTGACACTATTTCAGTACATAACAGAAATAAAACTTAAATATGGGCTGTGAAAAATATTTTCTTATAAGTTCATTTCCACAGTCAAGCCCTTATTCAAAAGTTTGGCTACTTGTTCTTTTATCTACAGTAAAGTGCAACATAGTATCTAACAATCTCTAGACAGTAGCTAAATATCCAAGGACAGTACAAATAAGCACTTTTTAAAGAGTTTCTGTCTGCCTCTCTCATTGCTATGGGTAATGAAAATGGTATCAAAGTGTTCCAGAAGTGCAAATGCTCTCTATTCTTGTACTCATTTTTGCACTGGAGAGGTAATTTAGAAAGTGTTGTTCTAATACAAGTCATTTTATATATGCAAAGGTTAAAGCTATTTTCTTTGAAGTCTGCACCTTTTTTGGAGGAGGTCTGTTTACCCTCTTTGCCATTCAAGTCACCCCAGCTCACAGAACCCAAGCTTCCTGACATATAACCTGCTGCACATCTAGTCTACACGCATCCATCTATAATATTTTCCTTTTCTTTTTGCATTTCTTTTGTCAACTTTACAAACCTAACTGTTTTTCATACTGCAGTTCTTCACCACAGATTTAAGTACAAGGGACAAAATCAAATCTTCTTCATAGGAAGTTTCAATTCAACACCACATTTTTAAATCTTACCATGGTCCGTAAATTGACTCCATCTCTCATTTCCATTTGGTTCATCACATCCTATGGATGTGGAGTCACACGTCATGACCGGCTGAGAATCAGTGAGGGGTTCTGAAATCTGGATGTCGGATTCCTTAGTCAAACAAAGCAGCATGGAGAAACAGGAACAGTTACAGCTTTCAATAGCACCACAATATGATGGTTGCCCTGACTCAAGCAATTTCTGGGACTCATTAAGCAAATATTAAGGAAAAGAATTCCTAACTCTTCAATAATTGACCATCAGTGTGACAACCACATGCTATGATAGATTTAACGTGGTTTTTAATTTTCCAAAGACAATGACAAATGCTGAATAAAAACAAAGTACTAAAGCAAACCTTGTTATATCTGTGATGCTTCCACTGTTTCCAAACTGTTCCCCATATTATAAGACAAAGTGCTGGTATTGAACAGGACTATTCTCTGTTATTGATATTTTAAAAGCAAAGGAGAGTTTACGCTGGGAGTCACTTCAAGACTTCAATATTACGAGAGGATTCAGTTAAAATGTTGATATTTGTAACTAGTCAAATGAAAATAAACTGTAGCTATCTCAAATCAGAGTGTTTAAAAGATTACAATTCTAAATTTATCTTGAAATCAAATGTATTTTGAACTCTGGTATCAAACAGACTATTAGGAAGTACATTTCACAGAATCATAGAATCACAGAATTGTGATTCAGAGAGAAGATTTAGATCCAAAAGTGTCTTAGTAAAAGAAAACTGTGCAGTGACTAGGGAGTTTGTTGAACTATGTCTAAATAACTGAATGTAATGCTACTCATCACAGGTCCACAGGGTTCAGCCAAGGGGTCCAGACTTTGAAGCACATCCAAATAATTAATCTTAGAACAGAACAGTGTCTCTAATGCTAAAGAAAGTGCGTGGCAAACAGAAAAGAGGTACACACTGAAAGTCCATAAATAAGGTCCCCAACACACTGTACTTACATGTAGGACATTGACATTCAGCTTCTGAAAATTACGGGACCTGAATTCTTGCATTCTTTTGACATTCTCTTGATATTTTTCTTCTGCCAGCTGTCTGTAAATACAGAATACTTGTGATTGAGATGTGATATTGGGGATTGCACAAAGGGTCCTCCTAGCAGTAGATGTGGAAAAGCAAATTCCATTATCAGAGTACTGTGGCACCAAACACTCACAGCATCTACGTAAGACAAGGTTAATTTTACATGAAAAGATCTGTGGCCCTTCTTTTTTAAAACAGTTATTGTATTTATCTTTCACAGCCTGCATAATGTAATTGAGAAATAGAAAATGGTTAGTCCCAGGAGCTTTTGTCTCTTCCAAAGATCTTAAGCATATCATGCCTTCATGCCACCATGTATTCCACAGACCTTTCAGGTCAAGACAGGCACACAACACTTGTGTGCCATGAACACTTCACCCAGGGCATACCTGTTAATTGTATGCTTTCTGTTTGGGACTGCTTATTCCAGCTGCTACATTAAGTAAATCCTCCAGCTTCCACCACTAAACCCCTTCCCACTGACAAGTAGATCTGCACTACTGAATGAACATCTCTTGTGTGAGAAGGTACTATGTTATTGAAGTCAATAGGCAACAACAGAACTGAATATAGATCAATTTTAAAGATTTATGACTGAGAATAAGATTTGCAAATTAATATGCTGCCTTTACATTACAAAGTAAATATACTCACTTCTGCTGCTGGGGAAAAAAAAAAACAACATGAAAATCTAAATAGAGAATGCTAAAATGCAAGAAAGCAGAGAAAACAAAAGACAAACAAGAAATATTCTGCAATTAGTATTAATTCCTTACTTCCAGTCATTTTAAAAAAATGAAAGAGACAGACTTCCTACTTACAAATTTCATATAAGAATGGGCCTACCATACTGCTGAAAACACCACACACAAGAGGTGTTATATTTTATATAATTGGTTCATTTCAAGTAGTTTTTTAAAACGAGAATAAATTTACATACCAGCTTGAGTCTCAAATTTAGTGTTTGGTGTCAGACAGACACAAATACTGATCAGATACATTTTCCAAAAGGAAACGAAGGCTGTTAGCTTTTATTTCTCCCTATTGGGTACAGATGCCATGGGTTTGCACAAATAACACTAGGATACAATTTTACAGAGCATTTTCCCTCAACTACAATTACTATTCATTTGCAGGCATATGTAACAGCTGCAAAGTTACTGAGGCCATAAATTCAGGCTTCATGTAACCTCGCATTATTTCTCTGCAGTTAGATATCAATGCCTTACTGAATTGCTAGTGTGCTTTGGCATGGCAAGGTTAAGATACTGATTCTCATAAGGCTGGAGAAATGGGCCTATGAGAACCCAATGAGGTTCAACAAGGCCAAGTGCAAGGTGCTGTGTGCCAGGGCAATCCCAGGTATTTATAGAAACTGGGAGAAGAACCCCCTGAGAGCAGCCCTACAGAGAAGTACTAGGGAGTCCAGCTGGACGTGAGCAAGCAGTGTGCATTTGCAGCCCAGAAGGTCAACTATGTTCTGGGCTCCATTAAAAGAGTTGGCCAGCAGGAGACCTCATTGTGGCCTTGCAGTACTTGAAAGGAGTGAAGAAACAGGAAGGGGTGCATCTGTTCATGAGATAGGACAAGGGGGAATGGTTTTAAACTGAGACAGGGGAGGTTTAGGTTAGATATTAGAAGGAAGTTTTTCACACAGAGGGTGGTGAGGCACTGGAACAGGTTGCCCAAGGAGGCTGTGGATGCCCCATCCCTGGAGGCATTCAAGGCCAGGCTGGATGTGGCTCTGGGCAGCCTGGGCTGCTGGTTGGTGACCTGCACATAGCAGGGGGGTTGAAAGGAGATGATCTTTGTGGTCCTTTTCAACTCAGGCCATGGGTTGGCTATGATTCTATGATTCTATCCCTCAATTGCTGTCTATAAATAACTGAATAAACATTTTTAAATTTACACTGCACTTTGCAACATGCTTTTAAAGAAAACATTAATAATGAATATGGAGCTTTTCTGATTTTCATTTATATCACATGAAACACTGAACATTTTTAACTCGGAAAAAAACTCAAGTGTGTTATCAAAACGGTATCTTCTTTCTGTTTAAAAGTGGGATCCGTGCATACAAACATAGCCTTCAAGCTGTTTCTCACATGCCGTTCAGAAATGCCACTTCAAATCCCCACTTTTATTATGTTTTCCTTACTCAACAAAAAGCTATAAATTTTAAAGCCCTTACAATGTGTTGATTTCCCTGCTATTTGATCACTTGACAAGACTATTTCCTCTGAGCTGTTAGCTTTTATTGGCATATCTCTTAGGAAGAAACAATCGACAAAAGCAGTATTGTTACTGTATAGATGACTCTTCCAAATGTGCAATTTTCAAAATGACAAATCATTAACAAAATTCCCTACTGTAATGAATCTGAATATCTCTCATACACATATTTAACTAGAAATACTGTGCTCAAAGTATCAATCCGGGCTGATGCTCTGACTTCTTTTCTACATAAACAATTACCTTAATTTAAATCATCCAAAATTCCCATTCACTATGAGTAGCTAAAGACAGTTTCTATTTTTTTAATGTTTTTTTTTTTTTAAATATTTTTACCTTAACTGTTCTAACTCCCTAGACAGACCACTGAAAGGGGGAAACTGTACGGTTAGGGCACAATGACAATGTTATGCACAACTTACTTCAACTTCTTGGCTTTCTCATCTGCAGCATTTAACTTCCTCAGCCTCATTCGTTCCCGTGGTGTCATTTTCTGTACTTCAGACAGTTGCTGCAGCGTTTGCAAATGAACTTTCCTCAGCCTGAAATTAAATACATGCAAGCTTATTTTCAGACAGAAATGTAAATATCAGTATTTGGATTTGATATTGAAACATACTGACATTTCAAATGGAATAATTAAAAACTTACAGGTACTATAATGGACTAAACAGACCTCAGTCTGGAAAGTAAATGCCTCTTTTAAATTGAAATATTTAAACCTAGATTCAGGAGGAAGATGAACCATTTCATGCATTTCAGGTGAAAACAGAAAAAGGTAAGCTCAGCTCCTTAAAAGAATAAATGTTGAAGCACAGTGAAATATTTACCCTGCCAGGATTCATTACTGAGCACATTACAAATCCAAAGGCAGTTCTTAAATGAGAACCACAGAAAAAAAAAATTACCAGACATACATTTTGAATTGATTGATAAAAGTTGGCAGCAATGAAAGAGAGTATTAATCTGTCTGTAATGAAAGTCATAATTATCACATTGTCCTTTTGAATTCCTGGTTCTAATCAATAACAATTTGCTTGTAAAATGGTCTCCATGGACCATCTTTGAAAGCTGAGCACGAATTATTGACACTCGTATTTCTGCTGTATTTACCAACGCAGAAGAGCAATAGTGGTTGTATACCAGAAAAAACAATATTTATCTCAGATTTTACCTCACATTGCAGAGTAACTACAAAAACTGAGCCATAGCTTGCAATGCCATGGCACTCACCTTTCACTCACACCAAAATTTTGCATTCTTTGTATTCATGATATCAAGTATTCACTTCAAATGGTTATCACTGCTCTTAATTCACTTATTATTTAAGAGTCCAGTTTTATAAGAACATAAATTTTGAAATCAGAAATTTAGAAACTGAGAAGCTTTCATTATGCTTTTCAATTCTTGACTATAGAGGGAAATAGTGTAAAGATATGAAAATTATGTATAAATATGTAAAGATATGGAAATATTTCATATGTGAAATATGAAACACTAAGGATAAAAATACTTTAATTATTAATGAAAATAACTCTTCAACTATGAATAATGGAGACATATTTCTTGTCTCCTGCCCCCCCTCCCCCCCCCCAAAAAAAAACCCTTTAATTTAAATTGTAAGAATCTCTTGGGAAAAAAAAGTCATTTTTCATGTGAGTTGAAACTGAACCTATACAGCTTTTCCTTACTTAAATATTTAAAATTTATGACTTGCACAGAACTGGAATAAACTAAGCCATTAAAGCTTTTACTGTAAGAAATGAAACTCAAACAGAAATGACAAAAAATAGTTCTGGTGAGGAAAAAAGAATCAGAAATATAAGGCAGTATTGATAGAGGAGGACACCATAGCAAGCAGCTCCTTGTACACACACACACAGGCTGCAGCAGCTGTGGGTAAATCACTATGCTATTCTTCTTTTTTTTTTTCCTTGTTTTTGAATGTCACCATTTTTCAAGTATTTTTATTTCACTTTACCTGCCTCGTTGAATCTGTGATTGAAAAAGATATGTGGCATTTTGTTTACCAGTGCAAAAACAGGCAGCTAACTTTCTCATAAATGCAGTAAAATTCATAATAGAATGATGATTTTGTACACATTCTAAACATTTAAATAAGAGAATCAGACTACAGCACATCTGAAGGTAATTTACCCATAAGCTTTTCCTAGGAGTTTTGATTTCAAATTGATGCTCTGAACTTGAAAAATTCAAGGTAAATTTCCATCCTCTAACAAAGACAGTTGTTATCCATAGCTGCACAGTTTTCAGGCCTCTGGAGCTAGGCCCAGAAGAAGCTTTAAATTGCTTTTCACAGAAGTATAAGAAGATGATGCTTGTAGTTACAACTTGCTCTTCATCTTAAACACTTGAGAATTACTTTTGAACAAGAATATTACAGACTCCAGGATATGTGTCCCCCCGAGTGCTAGCTCAGTTAGTATGTGATGTCCTTTTGGAAAGAGATGAGACTTCATGATGACAATGGATCTGGTATGGAACATAGTATTTGGTATAGATAATAGAAAGTAGTTTTAACAGCCTCTTCTAGAAGCAATGTGATAGTTGAAGCCTAGGTAGTACTTTGCAGGTTAAAAATACTGCATCCTGAAAGCTACAATATTTTTATGCATACAGATAATTTGAAATCCTGTACAGATTATAAGTGAAAAAACAAACAACAACCCACAGAGGCATGGATTAAAAGTTTTTTGAAGATTCTCATAGTATATATTTGAAGAGGTTTTTAACACTCAGTGTAACATATACAGAATTGGCATAACATTTGGACAAGATTTCAGTTCCTCAAAACTAGTTAAGGTATATCTCAGAGGAATACCTCTGCAGCTACCTACATTTCATTTGAACAGACAGGAATGCACACAGAGTTAATCAAGTCAATACAAACACAGCAGCAATAGACAAAAGATATGTCTAATATTTTCTGAGTACATCAGCAAGTGTGATTCTTGGTTTCCAGTATATTTGCAAATGGCTATTTCTAGCAGAATCAATAATAGTGGCATAGTAAGAAGGCCAAAAATTAGATAACATGGCATTATTTGTTACAGCCTTCACTTACGCTTGCAAAGTTCAACCATGTGTTTATACTAAAGTGGAAACCAAAACACAGAGCTCTTGTCTAATAAAATGACAGAGGCTCATCTGACAACAAGAAAGAGCAGAAATGGAAAGGTCAAAGTGGAAACTTAAACCACAATTTCTAGTGATGAGTTTACAGATACACTCCAAGCACTCACACTGGGTAAAAAAAGTGTACAGAAGACTCTGCTGAGTCCCAGTGTCTTTATTCCACATTCTTCTTATCACTAATAGTAAACAATTCTTTGGTTTGCAGAGTTTATCTGATCACTCCTCCTGAAGGAATTCTTGCAAATAGAGGTGGTGGCACCAGCAGAGTGACCACAGCTGAAAAACTGCAGGCCCACACTGATGATATGCAGGCCCACTGTCTATGATATAAGTAAATGATGACCTAAGCCTTCAAAATATACAGAAAATTTAATTACACACCAAGTAGTAATAAATCAATTTGTGCATATACTACACATGCATGCAATATACACAATTTACAGTTACAGAATAAAAATATTTGATTGTTAGAACCATTTTTTGCCCTAAGTCTTAATTATGAAACTCATTAATTGTCCTGTATTTCTGAGGAATGGCAAGATCTCTTTAAAAGCAAAGCGTTACAAAATTAGCACAAATGCTCAGAGCAGGATAGCATTTGGCATCACTGTAATTTTTTATAGAGCTACCCACAAAATATTTAAAAATACTTACACAGCATCAGAAATGGGAGCACCTCCTTTCTGCCAGTTAAGCCCCTTGTCTTTTGCAGTCATACATGTGAAATTGTACTGTATATTCTGTAAGTAAATAAAATAGAAGTGATATTAATGCCTGAGGCCAAAGTGATCCAGACTCCAGCCCATTATTCAAAACAGACCTAATGCAAAAAATGAGTAAACGGTTTCCTTCCTTACCTCCATAAAAAGTAATTTATTGCATACATTGAAGCAGGGACCAAAAAATCAAGATGCACTGTCTTTTATTAAAACTATGACTAACCAGAACAGTTTAAAGATTACATGTCCCCAGGCCCAAATGATCTGCACTTGTTATGCATAAGTGTCCATTCTCCTTATTGTTCATGAGATTTTAAAGGGGGGAAACATTTAGCATGTCAAGTGAGAAGAGCTTAATTTCCCACAAACTCCCTGCCTCAGTCAGGTTGTAATTTAGCTCAGAAAGTCTCTTGATTAACGTTCCCAAAGGCTACTCACTTATTTTTTCACTACACATTTTCTCCATCTGCATTCTACTTTTGTGAAATACAATGTCTACCACTTTATCTTCTTGTTTACCTTTAGCTGCTCATCAATATAAGGGATTTTTAGGATCTCTCCTGCTGCTGGTCTCAGTGAAGGATTCTTATTTAACATGCTGAAACATTAAAAAACAGTAGCGATAATTCGGTCATTTTCTGAATTAACTTAAGAAGAAGCTAAACAAGAGATCAACACACCTGCTCAGCACAGCATTCAGATTGCTTGGATATCTATCAGGAAGAGAAGGTGTATCACCTTCTACAATTTTTAGCACAACAGACAAAAAATTGTGTCCAGAAAATGCATGGTTCAGGCAGCACATCTCATATAAAATGCATCCCAGAGACCTTGAATAATAAAAGAAATAGCATAGATGTTATTTTTACAAGTAGCATGCATAGTGACATTACAATAAGGAATGTCTTATTATCCTCACTATTATGTTATCTTTTTCATCTGAAAAGATCACTATTCATCAGTCAGATTACAAATAGGTATTGTTTCAGATAGGAGAGATCCTCGCTCCATTTGCATAAATGCAGGGAAAAAAATCTACAATCTGTATATAAAGTCTTATACATAAATACATACATATACACATATGCACATATATATGCACACACATACATATATATGTAAACACTAACTTGGCCAAAATTGATTTGAGCTCAGGGAATTACCAGATTTTAGATGACTGCATTATATTGAAATATCTAAAATCGAAGTTCCTCAACATTTTACTTGGAGAAGAAGAAACTGGAATACGCATGGATGGAGACCAAGTGCAGAACCAGTGTCAGTTTTAGATCTTTAAAAACCATTAGGAATGATGACAACCAAAGGATTTTAAATGGGCTTCTGGTCTACCATCACCTTCATCACCAACAGCAAAGCGACATTATTCTTTATGTAATATTTGACTGCGGTCATTTACAGAAGCAGTATGAAAAAAAGCATACTGATGATACGTGCAAGTACGTATAGGTGAATAGCATTGGTGAAAAGTGTAGAAATATCATCTTTGAAGTAAATAATAAATACAATTTAGATCGTTTGTTTTGGTAAAAGAAGAGGAATGAGATCAGCTCATCTGGCAACAAAAGAAGAAGAGTAAGAGTAAAGCTGAAATCCAGGCTCCACATACAATAAAATAAAGACAAGGGAGAGGAGGGCTCTCTCACTGGTGCTTTTCAAAGCTGTATCTGAAAACAATTAGAACATTTTTGCTAACAACTGCATAACTATAGAGATACGTAAATAACTGTATGGTGTCTTAAATATTTAGTTGTCAATCTGCTTTCCAATTTCCAAAATCAGTAAGTGGTAACACAGAGAGAAGGTCTAGCTTTATGATGTATGTTTAAACTCTAAAACAAGATAATCACTACCTAAGAAAATACTTCATAACAGAATCAAGCACAAGGCATATGAAAGCAATGAACAAAAATGGAAACCCACCAGAGGGCAAAAAGAAGAAAGGAAAATCCCAGCCTGATAGGCTGTATTAAAACAGTTTTTTGCAGAATCAATCTGTTTGGGATTAATTCTGGCAGCCAAAAAGCGCTTAATGAGACATTAGGAGAACAGGATTTGCCACATCAGGGAAGTCCATTTATTCAGCTAGATGAGTGCTTTGGCTACACCTGAGGCTTTGGAGAAAGATGAAAAAGAACACCCAAGGCATACTGGTAAAGCCAGGGCAGCAAACAGGCTACCCAGGGAAAAACCCATCTGGTCCATCAAAGAAAAAAAAGGGAAAAAAAAAGAAAATAAAAAGAAGGGAAAAAAGAAAAAGGTTTTTACTGCAAGATACAACTCTTTGAAATGTAATAAATACTTCCTAGGCCGAGAAATGCCTTGGATCCTGGAGAAAGGCAACTTTTTTTCCCAGGACAACTGCTAAGTTGTAATTGCCCAGGGGAATTATCAAACTTTAGCCTCCAGACTGCATTTCTCAGTGCAGTTCTTTCAACAACCCCAGCCAAAGCATATTGTAATGAGCACATTCAGCAAGAGAAAATTGCTTCCCAATTTGCCAATGACCCAGACACATAATTTAATTACTTTTATAACCTTAGCTCGTTTAACTGCCATTGTTATGAAATTCTAAAATGGTTATTAAACTATCCTGCCAGAGTGCTTGCTTTGATAGCATCCTATGTTCATGAATACATTCGAAAAATGTGCTAAACAACACTTCATTTGAGCAAAACTGATGTATGATCATTTAACCTTCATGCCATTTACGCTCAGTTACAGAATAAGTAGGAGCATCTGGACAGGTTTCAGTATATTATCTACAACATTGACTGACAGACACCTAATTTCTCCTTCATACTTTTAATACATTCCAATATTTTGTAGAAATATCTGAAATACTTCATATTCCTTTAAAGGCTGTAAGACATAAATTGGCTTTTTAATGAAACACTAAAAGCCAGACAAACTGAATGCATATGCCTTTGTGGCTTGTGTATCTCAGTCTGATTGTAACAGCAGGTCTGAAGAATTTGCTGACTCCAGGGTCTTTAAGGAATACACACATATGCACATGTAAGTTGCTCCAAAAGTAATGCATCCTATTTATTTCCTCAGAAACTACAATAAATACAAAGAGCACAATAGCAGTATCTGACTGAGCAAATTCTCAGCTATAGAACGTTATTTTTGTACATGGTTACCATAATTACCTACGCATTTTTGCCATCAATGAACAAGAGCTTGCATGTCACATCTGTAAAAACACGCTCCAGTGGAGGTGACTCACTGTCACTGTGAGGGTTGCTGAAAAGCACCACTGTGCTCACATCCACTGTTCGGACTCCATAAATGTTCAGCAAGTGTTAATGAATGCCAATGGCTACAATTTTTCTGCATGGAGGAATTTAATTACACACTTTTGCTTCAGATGCACTTCCATGCCAGACACCATGCTGTCGGACTGCCCCTGTGCTGCCATCAGTCACATGGCAACAAAATGTACCAGAATATTAGTGAGAAGGTTCAGCCTTTACTGCTGTACCACCGCCATCTGTGTCTCACTCAGCATACAAACATGAAAAAATAGGAGGCATTACTTTCGGAGCAGCTTTTATGTGCACCATCATGACGTTTTCTTGCACTGCTTTTCAGGTCTTTATGGCACGGCTTCTCCCCCTCTACATGAGCAGCAGCTACCATTAATCTTCCTAACAATTTCTGGGGGTTATTTGTTGGTGTGTCTTTCTAATGGAGACAAGTAGATCTGAGTCACATGGCTCAGTCTTTTAAAACCAAATGGAAAGAATAGCAGCACACTAATCCTCACAGTAATTAAATTCTGTGAAGTCTTTCTGTGAGAAAGGATCCAGTCAATAAATAACATCTTATATTAGGTGCTATGAAATTGAGTTAGCAGCAAACCTGCTATAATATTTTAATAAACACACTTCCTTGCAATGTAAAAATCCCAATCCAAAGTGTTTCTCACTTCAAGATTAATTCAAATAACAACCTCAAATGATGTGGAAACTATTGTTATCTGGATTGCATATTTCAGAAATAAGCTTGGATACTGCCACACCTTTATATTTGGGTGAACAGTCCTTATATCCACCAATCAGGGTCACAAGCACCAGAGGGATTTCCAGGTTTGGGTCACTGTAAAAAAACATGACCATAATCTTTTCAAAGTAGGAAAGGTTCCTCCTCTTTTTATCTCCCTCATTTGTGGGGTAGGGAGGGCTGGGTGACTTCTGGTACATGTATACAGTAGCAATTAAAAGGTTTTCAGTTGGCCCAGACATTTAATAGTCATAATAGTCATTTAACAGGAAAAAGATCACTTAGACATATCTATTAATTTAAAATGAAGTTTTATTTGTGCTTCGCTTGAAGACACATAGCTCGGAAAATCGGAGACAAAATGGTAATATTGTGTCTGTAAAGACACAAATCAGTATGAAATTTTCTCGCATTAAGTTACATAAAGGTAATTTCTTTCTGTCTTAAGTTCCATAAAATAAAATACAAAGCATGCTAAGAAAAAAAAAAAAAAGTTGTACTAAAAGTGAAGCTTACATTTCGGAAATCATACAGCTTTTAAGACGCTTTTGTTGTGCATTTATCTCAGAATTAAGAGCAGAGATCACTTCAGTGAAGTTTACTGATTCGTAACAGTGAGGATCTGGCCCAACTTTTCAAAATATGTCGTCTGCTCCAGCCCTAGCTTTCATAGGAAAGCTCTAGTTTTCATGCAAAATTACATTTAAAAAAGATCCATCACTAAAATGTTACTCAAAAGACCAATGTATGTATGAACTCTACTGTTTTTGGAAATTTATCTACTTAAATTTGGCAATAAAAAAATAATCAATTTTTAGATTGTTATAGACAAACTGGGGCAGAAGCATAGGTAGCAAGCACAATTAAAACGAATGTCCTCAGATCTGCGGCACAGGGAGCCTAATTCATACAAACTCCACAGAAAAACCATCTGTCAAAATCTGACAGTACTTGGCAGCTTAGTCCAATGGATTCAAATGTGACATTACTTTTTCTCTGGAATACAAAAAAGAAGCTATTTATATCTCTCTTGTAAAGAATTTGCTGTTTCTAAGTGACAAATATGTTTGTTTTTCAACTAAAGTATTTCTGCTATCATTTCACCTCTGAGAAAATTTATAATACGCACAAACCTTGTGCAAAGTTCATGGATGGAGTTTGCCATAATATACTCATAACACTAAAAAGAATACAGTCTGCATAGACGTTATCCTATCTACTCAGAAGCAAAGATAGCCATGTCACTAGAAGGCAGACAAAATTTGCACTGGAGGATCTATACACGTATACCCTTGTCAGACTACAAGCCAGAACAGATTACAGTCTCATTTAAGCAGCTCCAAATTCTTTGGATTGGAAAAACCTGTAAGTGCAATACAGTGCTAACAACTTGTGGCTTGTTAATTTTATTGGGCATTTGAACACAGAGACAGTTTAAGGTGAGATGGGAGAACGATGCTCAGTCTGCAAAATGAAAAAAGCAGGACCTGAACCGGCTGCAAGCTGTTGTGCCAAGGGAATCTCCAGTTCTCTGGAATAAAAGAGATCACAGGGAAAGCTACAACAACCCATTTTAGCTTTAGAGACATTTGTAGGAGCTATCACTGACCTTCTTGGAAAATCTGGGCTTTCCAGGTTGCATGAAGACACTGGAAAGTACAAAGCTCTCTCTGATGTTCAAAAAACCTTATATTCCGGAGATGAAAAGGTAGTGCCTGCTGGAGATCAAGATGGGTCTTAAGAGAGAACTTCACCTCAGCTACTCACAGAAGACTTGAGTAACATCTTCACAAGTCTATGAACATCTTGCAAAGCAGCACAAGTATTTCATCTCCCCTTTAGTCAGGGCAGAAGCTGGGCTGATTGGCCACACACACACTCTCCAGGCAAGGATGTCCAGGTTGTTCCCAAGGCTCCCTTTACACAAGGCCAGCAGCTACAGAAGACACTGTGGTGGCCATTCTTTCCAGTGTGACTGTGCTCATGGACTGAGATGGATCTTTGAGCTGGCAGCAATGAGTGCTGCACTTCTGCCTGCCCCAGTTTACCTCCTGCAGTCATTAAATGGGAACAAACAGTGACTCTGTTCCTCCTGCTAGAGGGTTCAGACAGTAAATGCAATTACTCAGGACAAAGCTCTTTATCTTGTTCTGTAAGACCTCTAAAGCCCTAACACTGAATACTCCTGAATTCTATCTCAAAGCTGAGCTTTAAAGCCTGGATGCTAAGTCTTCCTTTAGGTTTATGAAGTTCTTATATGGAGTTCACCTTTACTAGGGCTTCTTATGTGTCACTGCATTAAAACTGTGCAAAATGGGAACAGCCCGTTTACCAGCTCATCTGATCTTTTAGTCCTTTCCTCTTCTCTTATGTATGGATGCCATATAATAGGCCACAGAATATAGTGTGGTTTGAAGGGCACAAGACCAGCCTCATCAAACATAAGCTCAGTTAAAAAAATAAATAACCAGACATAGAATAATAGTTCTTTTTAACATTCCTACATTTCCTCTGCTGAAGTCAGAATTGAAAATAAATATTGTTCCTCAATAGAAATACTGTCAGAAATACTGACAGAAATACTGTCATTTTATCCATTTTATTCATCACCTGTGTTTTACATTCTATAAAAGGAATGAATATTTTGTGCCATATAAATGCCTTATGTATGGATATTACTATTAAAAACAATGATGACAATATAATTAGGCATGGTGTGATAAAACTGGGATCACATGGACTCAAAGGCAAAATTCCTATCAAGTTTAATAAGACTGAGACTTTCTAGTCTTTGCAAAGAAAGAAGCTAAGAATGCTACCTTCCTCCCTAAGGTAGAAACTTGCTATCACTTTTTGAAGGAAACCAATTTATTTAATGAGTTGAAGCTACTGACTGAAAGAAAATGAGCTGTCACATTTTAAAAAAAGCCCCTAAGAAACGAAGAGCCCAAAACAATTGCAGAACTTGACTTTTCATATGTCAAGCAATAAAAAATGAGCTTTCATGAGCTTTATCAAAAGTATTTATATCTAACAACTGGAGAGGCTTCTCAGTAGGAACAGACGTTCAAATTTTCCAGTCATTGTACTAACCTGATAACAAAAAGCAGCAGAGAGACTCAGCTAACTTCAGTTAATGGGTCATGATATAATAAAAATTGGTGATAGAAAAGGAAAGGGAGCGGGAAAGGACAGGAGTTCCTAACGACAGTTAAATGCTGACCTTGGCAACAGATGACATTTTACCTTTCAAGATATCTCCTTTTCCCTGGATGTAATAAATGAAATGAAATAGCATGCTGATTACTCACCAAATATCAGATTTTGTGTTATATCCTTGGTGTTTCAGTGCCTCTGGACTCATGTAGTATGGCGTCCCGGTAAATGTTGTTGCCAGATCACAAGAACCCATCAAAAGACAAGAAACTCCAAAGTCCCCTAAAAGTAACAACAGAAAAATCCACCCCCAAACAATTAAGCACCATGAGATTAAAATTCATACAAACTTAGAGGTTACCACAGCTTTCATACACATCTCTGTTCACTTCTCATGTTTTATATTAAGAGCCGTGCCCTCTGCTTGTATAAACTGACAAAACTTCAGAAGGCACAATGCAAAAACCAAGTCTGATCGAGAACTAAGAATATTGATAATCAACTGATAATGAGATATAGATCTACTTAAATTCCTGATCATCACTTCAAATTCAACAGTAATTTCTTATCTGAGTTGCCATCTCATTTAAAATTAATTGGAAAGGTTTGACCTATTTGTACCTATGACCCGTTTAAAAGAAAGGAACTATCCTGTACCAACCATTCTTATATTTGCAGGAAATACGCCAAAGGATTTAAAAAATACAAGTTTTTGTCCACATTATCTGATAACTTCTACAGATAGAAGTTAACAACACCACTGGGATACTATGAAAGATTTTTCCCTGTCAGTGTGTGTAGTGAATTGCTCTAGGCATCAGAGCTTGATACTTTGGCACCATGGTGATAAATACTGAAAAAAAAATCAGAAATCAGTAACTTAAAATCAAGTTGTTGCAATAAATGCTTGGCACTCTCTACAGAAATGAAATTAATGTGAAATAATTTCAGTGGCAATTAAGTGCTGAGTTGATCCTGCAATTACTGCTTTTAGTAAATAAAGAGAGAAAACTAAGATACGGACCAGGATATCCATATTAGATCAGAGCACAAATAAAAACAAAAATACACTAATACAATATTAACATTTCAAGAACATATGAAAACATCTATTTGCATAAACTCTTTATGTTTTACTGTTAGACACAATAAAATGACTGGGCATTAAAAAATGACAGAATTTTAAGTGTGGGGGAAAAAAATGAGAACCCAGATTTACAGAATGATGTAGATGCAAGAGGCCTCAGGAGGTCATCTGATCATAAAATCAAAGAATCATAGATTCATTAAGGTTGGAAAAGACTTCTAAGATCATCTAGTCCAACCATCCATCTACCTACCACCAATATTGCCTGCTAAACGATGTCCCAAAGTAGCACATCCACATGTTTCTTGAACACTGCCACAGACAGTGACTCCATCACTCTGTGGACAGCCTGTTTCAATTCTTCACTACACTTTCAGATAAGTAGTTTTTCCAAATATCCAACATGAATCCCCCCCTGGCAGAATTTGAGGCCATTTCCTCTCATCCTATCGCTAGTTACCAGGAGAGGAAGCCAACCTCCACCTCACCACAACCTTCTTTCAGGGAGCTGTAGAGAGCTATAAAGTTTTTAAACTCCTATCTCAAACCAGGAGCAGTTTAAAGTTACATGAGGGTGCTCAGGTTCAGGTCTAGTTGTGCTTTGAACACCCTCAAGCCTGGGACATCACCGATTGATTGGACCCTGTTCTATTGTCTGATATGGAAATGTTTGAACAAACATTACATCTAATATCACTTTATTTAAATCTCCTTATTCACGGAATGTCTGCTGGATTGTTCTATCATAATAAAATGTGTCTTTAAAAAGGAAATCTCACCAATTTTAAGAAGATTATTCTTCAAAAATATGTTCTTGGTTTTCAAGTCTCTGTGAAGTATTCTCCTGTAATACAAAAAAAAAAAAAAAATTAAAAAGATTTTTTTTAAATCTCATCTAACTTGAAGAATTCACAGTCAACTACCAGGTTTCACAAGTATTTATCTTCTTTCCTTGCCAGGAAGGACAGCTCACCATGTTACAGTCTAACTCTGTTTAACAATGTACAGACAATGGCATTAAGGAGTTTCAAATAACCATAGAGATGCATTCACAGACACCCATATGCAAGCTAAGAGCCTAAGCAGACAGGATAATAAAATGAGCCCAGGAATCCCAGCTAGAGAATACAGATACAGGTTTAAAATGAGCTCCCGAGGAAAGGAGAAAAGCAAGCCTTCCTGTCCTGCTCTTCTTAAAAGTATTACATACTATTTACAGCCAGAAGAATAAGATGTATCACAGTAAAATAAGGGATAAGAAAAACAGCAATAAGCTCAGGGAATCCTCCTTCAGAGAAAATGTATTACTTGAAAGACAAATACGTATTCAGACGAGGCTAGTTGTACAATTTTTTAAAGTAATGGCCTGGAAGATGAAAGAACTTCACAAAGACAGAGATCAAAAGGAAAAGAAAGAGAGCAACCAGCTCTTACAGACTTATGTTTCTATCAAAGACTGAACAACATCACATGCTACACACCACACTGGGACTAACTGCATGTCCTCGGCTTTTTGAGATCTTAATGCATGACAGGAATTCTCCACCCTATTAGGGAAAAATATATATCTCTGCAGTACACAAAGCACAGTCTCAATGAATTCATTAATAACAATTCCAAAAGGGTTTCCTATAATCTCAGCTAAACTTGAACTCAACCACTCTGAAGCTCCTCATAGCTTACACAGCATTTGTAACACAGCATTTGTTTGGAACAGCATTCAGCACGGACTGGCTACTGAAACTGGTACTATAAATGTATTCCTCGTATAGCCATTTAGAATAGATAAGAAAAGCTGTACAATTCTTGAGATGTGGGCAGAAAAATTCCATGCATAAGTAGATTTTAGTTGCTCTTGAGTCATTCTCAAGCACTATGTCAAACTGTATTGAATTATGAAAGTCTTACACACTGAGACACTTAAATGATTTCCAAAATAGCTTGCACATTAAGACTATAAAATGCTTAGTCTACAGCACAATTTAAATAAGCTGTTTAGTCCACACCTCATTTGAAAACAATTTTTGCAAGAAAACAAACATAATGATTTTTATTTTTTATACTCTGTTCATAAACAGGAAGGAAAAAAAGTATAATAGCTACTAGAAGGTACTGTAATGCACACACAGTCAAACAAGAAAATTGTATTTTAATGGGACATTAAAAGAATTTTTTATACTTCTTATGATTTTTTTTCGTAATTTTTGTCATGAAAATAATACTTGCAGTGAGAAATGTGCACATCTGGAAAAATGAATGCTTTATTCAGCATGCTTCCACTAATGTTTATGCATAATTTATTCTTTACTTTCTTGAGCATTATATGTACATTCATCATGCATTACATCAGTAAGGAAATTAAACTAACAGTATATTCCTTATTGGTTTATAAGCCCACATATATCTAGTCATATATCAATCTTGCTCTGTTAATTTAGTTTCATAAATTGCTTCCTTACCATGCAACACACAGAGCCTTTGAAAGAAGTTGATTTCACTGAGATAGATTTTTCTTGAGTTAGATTTTTGTTTGTTTTTGTTTGGTAGAAATATAACCATAGACTCCTTGAACAGAAAAATCGGGTAACTATGATCTGCATAACAAGCATTTGAATAACAAGCATTTTGGCCACATCAGTTTGAAATAGAATGTAATGTTAATAAATGCTTGTGATATATTGATTCAAATTTGATGCAAATTATTGGCATTAACAATAATTATGAGATCCCTTTATGTATGAATATGATTTTAAAAAAAAAAGATGCTTCTCGATACCAACCACTTTATTCTGCCCGGATATGTCAGACAATAAACAAGTTACAAGCTGAAACCTTAACTGAAACAACTACTTTAATTCTAGCAAGAAATAAATATACGTTGCCAATAAAGCAACATGATCTAACTGGACCCCAGTAAAACTTAATCTAACTTGACAGTCAGCGAAATGGTTATTGATATTTTGGGTAGAAATTAACACTTCAGGATGGTTTTAAGTTTGGCCTATAAATATACCTGTGCCTATATCTTCTATAGAGTACCTGCTTGCTGTCTCATAGTAATGACAAAGCAGTGTGGATCACTGAGCAGCAGGCAGCCTCCTTGAATAAAGATTCTCTGCAACCTACTAGCAAGGGAAGCTAATTGAATCTGAAGTAGTTCTTGCTGTGAAACACTCAGAAATGTAACTCTCTTCGCTCTTTCTGAAGAACTATTTTGAGATCTAAGTGGTTCTGTATAACTGTGGATCCTGTACTACAAAAGACAACATGAAATCCACATAAAGGACTTGGGCAAAGTCTTCGACCCTGTAGATTGGAAGTAAAAGATTTGTTTGCATAAACAGTAACCTTATCAAAATCTCAGTGTCAGTATATTATTCAAGAAGATCAGGAAAGTGATGGATAACATAATGGTCATCTTTGTTCAAGCAGAGGTTAAATGAATTAACAGTCTCATTGCCTGATTGTTGAGGGATCCATTTTGTGCCCTGGTGTGTGTTGGGCTACAAGCATGCCAGACACCAGATGATGGTTTCACACTAACTCTGTGTAGATAAAATCACTGAAATTATGTTGCTGTCGTTAACTTCTCTTCTAGGTTACACAAATGACAAATGATGATTCAATCTATTCAATTCCAGACAATTTAGCTTTCGAGTTTAAATTCAGAAATTCTTCCAATTATGTAAAATAGACAATAAATGGAAAGTCACCAGGAGATATTCATTACTCCTTTGGGATTTATGAAGCATAAGTAAGAGACATGAATGTCTAAACTGCAGTCTTTCTTATTACAGGGGAAGAAATGCAAAGTAGAAGAACAGTTCTTTTTAGAGATAAATCTCCAGCATGAGAGCTTTCAAAAAGCGTAGAAGTTCAACTAAAGCTGTAAAAGAAGCACAATCATATAATACTCTATGTCTAAAACTATAAATAATTATGTTTTGCTGTTCTGGAATAAAAACTCCCATCTACAGCAGATGAATTTTCTGAAAATTGGCTTGAGAAAGTCCAGCCCATAGAAAATGAATACTTGAAGCTTCTAAATCTAGGGCGCTAAGTTTTCTTTCCATTAGAACACAATTCAAATAAGTATTATATGTTTTTTCCCATATCAGTGTAGAAGAAATAATGTATGACTCCTTTATATATAAATAGTGGACTGTTATTATATGTTTACATTTTTGTAATCCAAATGCATTTCTGTAAGTAGTTTTAAAGCCTACCATTTCCCATCTAAGCTATTGTTTGGCTGTATACTAATAAGATAGAGAATAGGCTTTCTAGTGAATACAGTCAAAAACATAATGAAGTACAGGAAATGCAAATACAAATAAAACTGTCAAGACATTTGTATGTATCTGGAGAGGTACTATTAAATAGCTTTAATTCAAAGACAGAAAATGAAATGCTGTTTGAAAATCAAATTGTTATTTTCACTGGAGAACCCAGTAATTTCACATACATACGTATATATATATATATTAAAAAAACCATTCATAGGAATTCTAAAAAGATTTTTTTGAGAACAAGTAAAAGATTAGAAAAATAATGCAGAGAGAAAAAGCAGGCAAAGAGGATGTTTGGGAAAAAAGAAGGTAACAGAGACATAAGGAAATAAGCTCATGCAATCTATTACTTTGCATTAGTCTACACAATGCACCATCTAAACGCATACATTAAAGAAAGGATTTCATTCCAAATAGACCTTTCAGATTACCAACTTTTTAATGATAAATTATTAAACTAGATTTCAAGAAAAGGGTGGAAAAAAAGCACTAATGGTTTAGTTAGACAATATGGATTTTTATTCCCTTTTTCCTATGTCATTTCTAGCTCAGGTGAACACTGAAAAACATGGCATCCTGAGTTCTCTCCCTGCTGTGCTACCATCATTGCAGCCTGTGGGGCTGGCATGGCACACTGTGTACAAACCCCATGTGTATCACCACAGCAGGGGAGTGAAAAACAGACGATCTTTCAGACCCCTTCCAACCAAAGCTGTTCTATGATTCATTCTGTGACACTGACAATTAGGAACCAAAATGTTCTGAGTCCTAGACAGCAATTTACTCTGTCCTCTTCCCTCTACAACCTGACACTGTAGGTGCAAAAACTCATTAGGCATCTCTCTCTTTAGGTCAAAGGTATCCTACATACTTCAACTCAACTCAGGAATACTTGTTCTTGGAGACAAGCGACTGTCTCCATCTACTGCTCTCTTGCAGGTCAAGAGAATTTGGCCCAAGCCCTGCTGTGAGATAGATTTGAAACAGTCATATGAATTTCACACTGCTTTCAGCCTCGATATAGTGTTCATACAATCTATTTTATATTCAGATTGGAAAAAAAAACCCTGGGGAAAAAAAGAAGAATTCTCATCTCTAGATTCTAGGTGTAACCTAACCTTCAAACATCAACTTTTCTCTATCTCCACTAGCTGTACTAATGATTTATGTCATTATTCTAGGCCAATCAGCTCATTTCCCCAAAACAGGCACCTAAAATTGAGTGTGGCATTGTATAGATAAATTATTTACAAGTGGCAAAGTGTCATACAAGGTGATTGCAGATAAACATCCTTAGCCTTTAAGATAGTCCTTGCAGCAAGGTCATTTTTAATTCTGAATGTTCAAAAAGAAGAATAATGGTGCAAATGGTTCATCTTGGCAGGATGAAGCATCTTGGACTCGTGGGCTACAATGGTCTCCAGAAAGGACTCTGTCTTGTTCATTAACATGGTCAGAGCTGCTAACATACAAAAGCAACAGGGAAGAGACAAAGGAGAGGAGAAGATGCTGAAAGCCAGGCTGACTTCACCTGTCTCACTGCTCCTGAAAGGGGCCCTTGTGTTCCTACCTGAGCAGCTGGTCCTCCAGCTCTCTGCGTAGCAGCCTTCTCCTCTCGGCTCAGCACAGCACTGTTTCCCTCATATCTATAGCACTGTTTCCCTCATATCTATAGCTGTGCTAAACAGCTACACCTAGCTCCACGATGACAGCATGAGATGACACAGAGGGTGGACCAAACAGTTTTCATACATGTGACCACTACAATGGCAATGAGGGAACTGTTTAAATCACTGAAATCAGCCTGTGTAAATCACACTGCAGGCACTCACAGAGATGACCAGGTAGGTATTTACCTGTTGTTATCTCTGTTCAGACCAAGTATTATTTCCACAGCTGTTCAATAGTCTGCAAACTTGGGCAAGAGTTGTGTGAGGAGCATGCTACCAGGAGATAGCTGGAGCGCCGGTTCCCTACAGCTCACATGAAACCTTTAAGTCCTGCTTTGAATCCTTATATCTGACCTTGGTTACCTACAGCAGGGACATTTTTAAACCATCACTCTATGACACTCCATCAGATAACCAACTTGATGTCTGTGATGGCATGGGATCTTGCACTGTTGGTTAAAGAATGTGGTAATTAATCATACGCCACTGTCTGAATGACATAAATGATTAGGTTAATCTTTGATGTGCTGTTAAAAGTAATGTTAGTGCTTAAAGAATATACGTGTTTAACTTCACTGATTTCAATGGGACCACATCAAGCATATAATTCGATTCTTTACATTAAACATTTGCAAGACTTATTTGCTGAATCCCCTTTAAAATGCTGTCTTCTATTTTAAACCTTAGCTCCAATTTATTCTAACAATACTGAACAAATTCTATCGTCTTAGATTTTTCACTTGGCTATTAGGAACATTAACATTGAAAGACATCCAGTACTGCACCTCCAAAAGATATAATACACAATGTTCTTGCACGGTAGCTAATTAATTACACTTTAAATTTACTACGTACGCTCTATAGCAGCTTGGTAAATAGGATTTTATACAGGCAGAAAATAATCAATATGGTTTAATTTCTATTTGAACATGTATAAGAAAGTAAAAGTTTACTCACTCCCCTCCCAGCCAAATGTTTCCATGTTAAAATGACTGTACCTTTCATGCATATAGTTGACTCCAAGTAACAACTGTATAAACCACTCTATTATTTGTCTTTGTGTGAATAATTTCCCAGATTCTTTGTACTCTTGAATTTTATAGTCTAGATCTCCACCCTGAAAAACATCACAAAACATTTGTACATTTAAAGTAAGTTTTTAAAATGTCTTCTCCTTCGTGAAAACACAGGACTCCATTTTCTTACGGTTTCAGCACACAGTCAGTAAAATTAATGCTTGGACATGAATTTTGAACTCTCATAGCACCAGAAGCATACAGAACTCTGGACTCAAATGAGATCAAGCAGACTGGCTGCCTAGGGAAAGTAGGTCAGTTCTTGCTTAGTGTCACAAAATGACCAAAGTTCTCTGCTGTTCTCACTTCACATCACCCAGTTTTTAACACGTCCATCTGAGCTGGTCACCTCAAACTCCCTTTATAGTTAATAAGAGGAACAGGCAGCGGTAGTGTGCAATTATCTCTGCCATCTAAGTGTTTGCCTTAGGAAGACAGAGATTGTGCAGTACAAGTGCTGTTTCTCTACAGTGGCTTACAAAGACAGCCTACACTGAGTGGCCCAAATAGAAACACCTAAGTAAGCAAAATGATTCTAACCCGACCTGTCTAACTAATGGCTTGTAATTCTGGGGAAAACACTGCCACTTAAGTCAAGCAATGCACAGTCAAGAGACACTCATTTATTATGTTGAAATAAGCATAATCGAATAAACTACACAGTTCTCTCAAAAGAATTATAATACCTTGTCCTTCTTTTGCTAGAAACAAAGCAGAATTCAAGCACCTAGAAACTGTAGCATGTGCTATTAGGAATATTTCATTAAAAACTACAATTGAATTTTGATGTAACACTTGAAATGAAGCAATGTGATGCATAGCATGCAATGCCAAATGAACTGGAAAATATATAAAGAAAAAGACTACTTGAAAACTATAAATGCATGTATGTGAAAAAGTCATTTGAACAACAGCACGATGAAAGAGGCTCTTGAGGAGAGTTAAATGAAAACTGTTTATTTTGCTAAAAAAGAGATGGTTGCCTGCTGGTTATTTATCCAGTTTATAAAATAAATGGATTTTGTTTACAGGAATGACAGTAGTGGCAAGATCTCTGTTGAGGTAACTAATCCCACAGCAAAGGGACCGTGAGTCATATTGTATTCTAGTGATAAATTACCTTACACCAAGATAACTTATTCTACATAAATCATTACTTCTGCATTACACACTCTGCATAAAATCAGAATGTATAGCTGTGTGTGTGTTTGCCATGCACAAGAAAATAGTTCAACCTGTACCACTGTGATGCATATGGAAAATAAATCACTGGTTATGTTGATACATGTCATTTCCCATCACCAACCTTTCCTTGTACTGTTGACTCTTAAAATGTCGAAGTCTGCTCAATGGTTCCCCAAACCACTGGCTTACACTACAAAATTAGCAGGTTCTGTCCTTGCACATCCATACATTTCTGAGTGGACATGAGTTTACAATAATTCCTGTGGTTCTTAACTCTAAGAATTGCAACGCTCAAAAGTGACTGTTTAAAAAAAAAAAAAAGAGACAATCTGTTTTTTGTCATATATCAAAAATGTGTTCCCTAACAATGTCCTGCCATTTCTAAATCGAAATGTCTGATTCAGCATATTTATGGCTGCAACTCTCCATCTGCCTCCCTACTGTAGTCCAGAGAGAAGCTCTTTTGGGAGCTTAGAGCTCTGAGCAGCTGCTCTCTCTTTGCAACTCCAAATGTTCAACAGCTTCCCCATGGCTGCTCACAGCAGAGCAGAAGAAGGGAAGAAAAGGTATTGCTGGGTACCCTGCCGCATGGCAGCCAGATGGGCTGTGTCTAAGCCTGCATGCACCTCAAAAGCACTGACTCACCTACTCCAGATGGCTGCCCCAGACCATAGAGAGCCAATAGTAGCAGTAGTCCAAGACTCAGGGACTGCTCCAACCCATGGCAGCTGGCTACTACCCCCAGGGGACTAACCAGGTAAACAGCTGAAGTGCAGCAGCCTGCGATCACCATTTCTCACTCTCCCAATGTATTCTCTTCCACAATCATGCACTGATGTGAAAAAATCAAAGAAACATAGGACCTGAAAAGTCCTTCAGATGATCTAAAAAAGAGAAAAAGCAGTCAAATGAAGCACTACACGTGCCCTCAAGTAATTGTGTGGCTTTTGACAAGATTGGTCTCAATGTCCTGCAGTTAATTTAAGCTTATTGCTATGTCTAAGAAAGGAAAACAAAAATGCATTATTACAAATTTGTTGAAATTTTGCAGCCATGAAACTCTAAAAAAGTTTATTAACCCATTTTTGCATTTTGGAAAGCCAATATAATGAAGTCCATGAGGAAATTAACAAAGTAGAAACAAAATAGAAAGCTTCCATGCTACAGTTTCTATTTAAATGTCAAGAGCATCAAACACATCACTAACTTAAAACAGCTCAGTACCAGGGACTGATGATGTGAACAAGCATTAATTGCTTTAATTACTACTTCTCCTTAAATTTCCTTAGTATATGTATGTTCACATCATAGTGAGAATGCAGGGAAGAGACAGAAATAATTATCTGAGGAAAAGTGTAACTAGCTCTGATTTTTGATGTATTACAATGATACAACATTTAAAGGCACTACTTTGTTTGCATTTCTAAAAACTGTATTTGATTGAAGTCCAATGTATGCCAGAAAATGAAACCCAAGTTTCACAAAAGGAAAGCTTGTTTTTTGTTTCAAATTTGAATTACATAATAATGTTCATCTTGTTTATATACCTAAGATGTTGAATCATTACAGTTGTCAGAAAAGCTCAAGAAAAAGACTGAAACAGAATACACATACTTCTTTTCTATAATTTTGAGAGAATTCAGCTATATTAAAAGATGTCTTTTGTTCATAGGATAGGTATAAGACAGGGCAGCTGCATTGGAGGCTCACTACACAATTCAAACAAGAACGAACAAAGTATGGCAGCTAATGAATGAGTTACAGTTCTTTGGAGAAAAGAGAATAAGGCTGAGAGGGTAGTTCTGTTTCCATGCCAACTTGCTGTTTATTCTTTATTTTAAGTCTGTCCAAGAGTACAAATTACTGCCAAAGAGGTAATTATTCTGTGCATGAGAAACTGAATGTACTAGATTTCCAAGCAAGGACAGATCAGACGCACTTTTCTTATTCTCAATTTAAACATGCATCTTTTTCATAAAAAGATCCAATTCCCACCATATTAAAAGACAGGCTATAGATATGTAAATACGAAAGCATACCTTATAGAAATACTCAAGGTAAAATAGAATAGCAGTATGCAAATATAACAGAATGCAAAACTGTGCTTTGTACTTCCCTTATCTGAACAATTGATTTAATACATCCCAATTGCTTAATGGCAATAATACAACATTGTCTGCCCTTCTGGAAAAATCAGAAGCAAATTCTAGTGGACCCAGTGTCATTCTGGCCTGACCTTGTAGACTCAAAAATGAAAAGATTCAGCTGCACAGTCAACACATCAATTTCCTCATGCTTTATTTCCCTTTTCTAATGCATTTGTGTGTGTTTGAGTACATGTCCACTGGATTCTATGGCTACTCTATACTAAAATACTTCAATTCAGGGCAGTTGACTTCATCTGAATTAAAGAAAGATATCAAGGCATGCTGCAACAGGTTTTAATTATTATTGTGATTACTATCACACCCTTTTTATTCACCAATAACTTCCTTTCAGACAGAAAAATGAAAGTAAAAAGCAGTGGACCAAAGGCACTCCCATAATGCTGCTGAAAGAGACTCCTTCATTTCTACAGGATCAACTGATCTGGTTTTGGGCTGCATTCTACAGAATCACAGTGCACAGGAATATCTGGATAGTTAGGATAATCCTTCAGTTCTCAGCACTGAATTTCCAGTAAGAGTTGACAATATAAAAATTCCATTAAGCCCCAGCTGTCAGACATTCAGAGCGTGAAGCAAAGAATTTCCGCATGAATATAAGAAGAGTACATTAACAAATGTTCAGATTGCATAACATAATCAAACATTTCAGATATAATAAAAAAAAATCCCAGCTATAATATGCATTTAACTGTCATCAAAGAAGGTTTCTAAGGTGGGAATGACTTGCACAAATTTTACTTCTTCAATTATTCACATCAAAGTTGGATGCTTGGAGAAATGTGATTAGCTAATACAAGCCTGATGGTGGACAGATAACCTAGTGGTCCAACACCATTAGCTTTCAAAGTATTTCAAATGTCTAGCAGAGCACAACTGAAAAGTCTGCTTCACAGATTCACAAAAAGAGCACTGTGTGTATAACAGATGTTTTAAGAACAGCACATCTATATTTAATGTAAAAGAAGACATTTGTTTCATATAAACTCTTAAAAAGTTGGCTTAAATATGTTTAAATACTTACTTCACAGCCTTTAGACAGACTTTATCAATATGTTTTTAAACCAAATGCTGCAGTCAAAAAAAAAAAAATCAAACTGGTAATTATACAGTACTGTCTCCTACTTTAGAATTAGTTGTATCCCTTGCACTCTGGTCTGACTCATCAAATATTCTCCACTTTAAAAAGTAAATACTGATAGCAATTCATCACCTACATGATCAGGCTTAAGCTCTTTGTAATCAGCTCCAATTCACAAGACAGTTGTCCCTTACTCATTTGCATCAAATTTCACAGTGTACCTCCAAATTCCCAATCTCATCCTCTCTTATGCGTGAAACAGTAAAACATTCGTGGTTCTTCAATCTTTCTAAGTTCATCCAGAAATCTCATTACCTATCTGCCTTACGTCTTTTACTACCAATTACAGTAAACCAAATGAGCTAGCATTTAAATAACCTGTTTTCTCTTCCCTGGTTTGTTTTTGAGCTGCAAGTCCATGAGCACACACAAGCAGGTAATACTGTCTGTTTGAAAAATGCCTAACAAGTAGCAGGTGGTACCAAACTTAACAAATAAAAATAAAATACAGAGTGAAACATTAAAAAAAAAACTGGTCTGGGTTTCTTTTAAGACCCTATTTTAAAGCACACATTCCATCAAATTTCTTCAAAGTAATCTAAATCTCTCACCTCACAGTACTCAGTGATAATGCAGAAACTATCTCGCTCCACAAAGCTTGCATAAAATTTGACAATGGCTGGATGGTCTAATTTGGAGAGTAGTTGTGCTTCCAGATTTGCTTCAACTGTTTCATTAGGCTTTAGGTCTCCAATAGAGAGTTCCTTCAGAACCTTTCTACAGAAAAAAAATAAATATTCACATTAGCAAAAACAGAAAAACACAGAAAATCTCATAATGCTTATAATCCCACCATAGTTTCTTAAAATGTAAAACAGTAACATTAGCCAAGTATTTGGCAATATGAAACTAGACAAATGTGGGTAAACAAAGAGCACGTATTTAAATGCCATAAAACCACTAGTCACCATAGTGATCAAGCAACATTTTTAAAATGCTATTTTGAAGGATTTTTCACACTAATTCCCTGCTGTACTGATTTTTTATTTTTTTATGACATGTTTTCAGTGCTAGGGATTACTGCATAATAATAACTATAAATTAAAAAAAAATATCTCAGTAATTTCAAGCCCACTCAGAGCGTATGTTCAAGATTCATACATGGAACAAGGAGCAGCAAGAAACAGACTGGTTTTGCTGCTTCTGCCAGAGCCTCTCTGTGGAAGCATGAGGAAAAAATCTCACAGAGGCCAATATTTCTATGACTGTTCTTCTGATTAAAAATCAGGACACTTTTTTTTTTTTTTTTTAAGATCTACTTGCTCTTCATGTGAACACCTAAGTGGAAAGAGCAAATCTAGATTTGAAGCTGAAACTTAATCCTACTGTTCCAAAGAACTCTGAATGTCAGTAGTTAGCAGCAGCAGATAGGCCCTAAACATCCTAGGGTGGAAAACATTAAAGGGACTTTTTTTTATATTCTTCAACTTAAGCACATAAAAGTGCCATGACAGAATCCCTGATTCAGACTCAGCTCTACACTGTACTTGGGAGATGTGCAGTCTACTGTCGAACTGTCCTGAAAAGAAACCTTGTGGTGCTGAATACTCAGAGGAAGCATATTCTGTTGGGATCTTCCTGTTGAAATGTCATCCAAAAAGCATATATCATAAAAAAGCATACCATTTCCATTTATCTTACCAGGCATTCAGACATGGATCATTGGTCTACATCTGAAGGAGCGTTTTGAGACTACTAGAGAATATCACGGTATTTTATGGAAAGAAAGTGATAAATTTTCAGTAACTTGAGAGGTAAGTTCCACACCAAAGGGGTATCCGCACGGTGCTTTTAATGATTTCCCATTCAATACTGTATGGCTGTAAAGGCACACGAGTTAAACATGACAGCGATAAAACCATGGCAATTCAGTTAATTTAAGGGAAAAAAAAAAGGTGTATTCCTTCATAAGAAAATGTTTTCCCAAATCTCAGCCATCAGTTGCTAGTCTAACAATGCATGCATTTTTGCCTAAACTTGCCTGGTCCTCATGCAGCAGTATGCTGTGCTATTTCATTTGTCAGCATCTCTAGAGAAAAGGCTCACTGTACAAAGACATGTAATACCTGCTACAATATTCTCATCGTCCATTGACACAGGAACATCATACTTTCCTTCATAGAGATCACATCACAAAACTGACAAATAAAATGAACTCTTGTTAAACATCACTTAATGCAACATTATCGTATGCCCAAGACATCAGTGGAAGCCTGATGTGTTGATGTGTGGGGATAGCTTGTCATCTTAGTCCCTCAGAGATTTTGATGCTGTCATCAGCTGTCACACTACAAGACAGGTGTTTTTCTTATTAAAATTCATTGCTGGCAATACAAATCAGAAAAATGTGCTTATGTAAATAAGAGGTTGAGTTTCTACTACATAATGCTAATTCATAGCGAGAACTGGAAAACATTTGCATCTATAAAGAAAACTTCTGTCATACAACCAAGATGGTAGATATACCGTTTCATGGACTCATAGAACGGTTTGGGTTGGAAGGGACCTTTAAGATCATCCATTTCCAACCTCCCTGCTGTAGACAGGGACACCTCCCTCTAGAGCAGGTTTCTCACAGCCCCATCCAGCCTGGCCTTGAATGCTTCCAAGGATGCGGGTATCCACAAACTCTCTGTTCCAACATCTCACCACCCTCACAGTAAAGAATTTCTTCCTAATATCTAGTGTAAATCTACCCTCTTCCAGTTTAAAGCCATTTCCCCTTGTTTTGTCATTATATGCATTTATAAAAAGTCCCTCCTCAGCTTTCCAGTAGGCCCCCTTCAGGTACTGGAAGGCTGCTATAAGGTCCCCATGGAGCCTCCTCCAGGGTGAAGAGCCCCAGCTTTCCCAACCTGTCCTCATAGGAAAGATGCTCCAGCCCTCTGATCATCTTCGTGGCCCTCTTCTGGATCCAGCTCCATGTCCTTCTTGTGCTGGGGGCCTCAGAACTGGACACAGTACTCCAGGTGGGGCCTTGCAAGAGCAGAGTGGAGGGACAGAATCACCTCCCTCGACCTGGTCACACTTCTCTTGATGCAGCCCAGGACACGATTGGCCTTCTGGGCTGTAAGCGCACATAGCTGGCTCTTGTGGAGTCTTTCATCAACCCATACCCCCAAATCCTTCTCCTGGGGGCTGCTCTCGAGCCATTCTCCACCCAATCTGTATCTTTGCTTGGAAAACCCATAACCTGTGCTTTCTGTAGGAAAGGTTTGATTTTGCTACATTTAATATGAAGGTGGCAACTGGACCTTACACCTTCTGCCAATCTTTGTCTACCTCAGTAAATAATTTTTTAAAATTATTTTTAAAAAGCTCCCTATTGGCTAAGTATTGACAAAGAAGTTATGTCAGGGTCTCAGAAGTTTCACAGATGGACCATAGTCTCTAGATCTTTCCTCTTTCCTGATAAAAACACAGGTTAAATGTCTTCAATAAAAAAGCACATTCATGTTCCTAAATTTGTTCTACCTCATCCCACTCTCTCAGAGCATACGCTTTGTGCTTTAAGGCATTCCAATCTCTCTCCAATTTGTGATATCAAATAAGCTAATAGATCTATAAACTGATGGACTTTCTGCCTATCGATAATAATAATAAAATAAAAACTAGCTGGCACAGGAAAACAGCAAACTTCTCTTAGCCAGTCCTGAATGCATTTCCCCTCCAGTTAGGGAATCCATCTTTACATCTTGAAGAAACAAAGTATTTCAGTTTACGTGATACAACCTGCAATTTATGATTGGTTTATAATTAAAAGCTACCTCTGCATATCATCTGGTGACAGTACCTGTGTATCATCTGCTGAAAATCTGTACATATTGAACAGTTTAACAAAGTATAGCTGGGTTCCATAAAGCATTGTAAGGAAAACTTTTAAAGCATGTGATAAGACATATACAGCATGTATTTACAGACAGTTGTCCTAAAATTTTGTTGGGTCTCCAGAGTGTATCAGCCCATCAAAAAGCCAACTTTTTCATTTTTTTTAAAGTATTAGCAGGATTTTAGAAGTCCAAAACTATTTGACTGAAGAAATCATAGATTTGGGTAGCACATACTGAAGAACAGGTATAACACTAAAATGTAGATGTCTTCGAAATGCAATACTCCCTTCAATATAATGTGAAAATGGTTGTCCTATTTTAGATTTATCATTATGAATTTCACTTAAATTAGAATATAGACACAAGGATATCCGATATAACATGGTAATCACACATCAACTACTTAGTAACAGAAGGGCTAGCAGATATCTTAAAGATCAATATGAAATAACAGTCATCATATTTTAAATGTAAATAAGACCTATCCTTGCAATTTAATGGCGCGAAGACACTGAACTTGATCTGGAACTAACTGCAACTGAAGGAGCCTTGTGGTGAATAAACTCACAGCTAAAGAGTAAAAAGCACCTGTCACTGTTTGCATCCACCCTAGAGGATGTGGTACTGATAACAGCAGTGTTATTCCCTGAGGTGGGGAAAAAAACAACAGAGATGAGCCCACTCCCCACAATGCAGAAAGCAGCTGCCCCATCTCCACTGTCTTCAGGATCACAGGACATCCCCAGGAACACCACCTGGCTCTTCTCAGCAAAACTTCCTGGCTTGCACTGTCACACTTTGAAATGCAGCCAGGCCAGCACACCATGTCTCCATGTGCAGTAATGGGCAGCAAACGGGGAGAAATAGAGCAAGATTTAAAACAAGAGAAAATAAGCACGAAGTAGGAATCCTTGAGGATACGGACACCCAGTGGAAAACCTTTTTTGAGCTTTACTAGTGACTGACAATATGCCACAGAAGTGTTTATTTCAGTCTATTTGCACCGACCTAAAATTAAATGTTTTACAGTCCATCTGGTATTTGTTTACATTGATGGCATGCTTTATTATTATATAATTTGGCTTACTGGATCAGAAGCAATTTTTAAAAAACGACAGCCTATCCCAAAAGGCACTTCATTTATTGAGGGAACTGCAACATGAATTATTGACTAGGTACATTTGCTTGCTGATAACGAAGTATGAGAAATACAACTCCTTTAATGTCGAGAGTAAGAATGTTTAATAAACTACCACAGAGCGGGTGTGCTCTAGGAATAAATGATCCAAATTTGAAGGTTTTAATGAAATAGAAATTTCATTTCATGAAGGCAGTCATTCAATTAATTGCACCCAGAGATTAGCAAGACCTGCTAGCACATAATCAGTGTGCAAAGCTGGGAATTCATTATTCCATATAGTTAATATTTCTAGAATCACCCCAACTTCAATATGGAGAGTTGTGGAACAATTCATACTTGTACACAGCATTTCCATCCACTTTGATTTTTGCAAAACTACCTCTTCATGCTGATAACTCTTCAGTGCTAGGACCACATGTAAGTCTATAAGAAAGTACTACTTCGTACTGGACCTGTAACTGGATATGAAGTTGGCCATAAATGTTAAAATTAAGGGACAGTCTATGCAATTAACAATTTCTTAAATATTATTTATTAAATGGCAAATTGAGAAGGCATGGTATTACAAATAGAGACCAAAGCAAACAACAGGGCACAACCCTCAGTCTCAAGTCCTGTCTGCACAACTGCTTCCACCTTGTTTGGGAAATTCATAGAATCATAGATTCATTAAGAGTGGAAAATACTGCTAAGATCATCTAGTCCAACCATCAACCTACCATCAGTACTGCCTACTGAATCATACA